TCTCTTTGGATTAATATGCTTTTTATATAAGAATATGTTTTAGTGCCTTTAGTTCTTGAAATATGTATTTTTTATGTGCGATAGGTTTTTGACTTTTTACAGATGTATATCTCTTTGGATTAATATGCTTTTTATATAAGAATATGTTTTAGTGCCAAATATTGCTTTTAAATACTTGCTGTACTTTAATATCTATATTACCTATACTTGTTATAGGTAATGTATTTCATAGTATTTATGTTTGAATGTTAGGTAAATAAATAAATGATCAGTAACATACATATTATATAGTCTCAAGTTATCTACTTTTATGAGTTTGACTATAGCGATTACCTGTAATTAAGGCTTTTGTTCTGCACTCAACACTAGTCTCACCTGGCCAACATGAAAATCTTACCTGTAGGTAACAAAAATACCAAATGTTGGCTAGGTGAGAAGACACCTCAAAGGGGTCATATAATGACCTCTAATTAATAGACACTACAGGTCACGTATTGTCTTCTCATGCCTACGATATCGACGACACATGCCGAGTGTTATTCTGTGCGTCTCCAGCCTCTATCACTTTCCCTGATGCTCCGTTTAGTATCGGATGAAAGACTTCAGTCTTCATTATTGTAAAATATATACGAATTAAAAACAAATTATCAATCTTAATATATAAAATATATTGTATAAAAATCAATTCATCAAACAGGCATCAAGACTTTTAGTTAACAGGACCTGTGTCACAACGTCTAGTTCACTGAACTTGCCAAATCACGTGTCTTTCACAAGTCATCCTCATCCACGTCACAAGGCATGCCAAATCACATGTCTTTCACTGGTACTAATATTACATTATGTAATACCCGGCCTCCTCTGCCCGGCCGCAATATACGTAAACAAATATCTCGTCATCAGAAAACTACGTTATCCCGACTAGTCTTTCACAAGTCATGCCCGTCCACGTCTAGTTCACCGGACTTGCCAAATCACGTATCTTTCACAACACGACATGCCAAATACCGCCAAAGCTATGCACATGAAGCGGTGACACCCGTCTTTGAACTGGACATTGGACTTAAATGGAACAAAATGTAAAGCAACTTGACTACATATGTGTCGTTTTAACGCTTTTTCTGTCTACACAGGAACTTATGAGTACTTCGCTTAAAGTATTCTCCGTTATAGGAAGTAACCATAAGTAGATGCATTCATAAATATTTATAATTCACAGCTCCGATGTAGATAGCGTCAGCGGAAATAAACATCTGTCTGTTCTACTGTATGTGTGTATACATCAGTTGATACATACTGTAATGCATGTGCGCGTACTTTAGTGTACGTGTGTATTGTATAGGGTGCGTGTATCATATAGTGTATATGTGCATTTACTTCAGTGCCAATGTATGTATATTGTGTACGTGTATATGTGAATGTGACAACGTGTACAATAGCGTTTGTGCTAAGTATGTGTGTAGTTTGTATGTGTGCAAATACTGTAGTGTGTTTGTATAGTACAGTTAGTATACAACAGAGTATGTGTCTGTACATTGTCGTGTATGTGTGTCCTTTACCCGCCAGTAAGAAACATACAAACTAAAAAAAAATTGTTTTTCATGTAGACACTAGTTCCACATCCCCAGGGTAAGTGGACATACACAACGTATGGCGGAAGGAATGTGGTTGGACACACGTTTCTAACACATCATCATGCAATATATATTTAACCTGCCCTATACACGTTGCTTAACTAAAAAAAATCAGTCAAGCATGACCAACAGCTACATCAGACAAATCTATATCTTCTAACAAATGTACAGGGGTGATGCATATTCTAGGAATCTAGGTTTCTTTCTGTTGTTTTTCTTTAGCGTTAACTGCGGCATTGAGAAATAAGGTCACTTATAAAAATCTTTCGGGACATGAATCATGTTTTACATATATATGGTTGACGAAACGCAAAGCTGTCACTTATGATACCCGTACCATGAAACTAACCATGCTCTGTGGGTTTGGGTGTAAGAGAGAGACAGAGAGAGAGGAGAGAGAGAGAGGCCACTTAGTAACACGTGTGTCGTCAAACTAACCATACATGTGTGACTGTGTGACTGTGAGAGGCGACAGCCGGTGACACCAAGCAATCAATCCACAGTATAGCATAACGTGCGGCGTTATATATAGGGACAGGAAATGTATTCGTCCTTACCAAACGTGTCTTACATTAAAAAATGTTGTCTCCGTATTCAAGTTCAGAGTGAGAGGATCGGAGTGACCACTTACCCCCGGCTTCCAGGAATCGGTGGTACCTGTCCGTCGTTTTCCTCATAAAATCCATGGTGGATCTGCGGTCGTGTCTCCCGTCTTGTGACTATGTTGGTATCTATGACAGTCCCGCGTCACTGACTCAACCCAGCTATAAGTTACCCACTGAGCTTTTCACCTCCAGTCTTAAGGATGAATAATACACAATTATCACTTTGAATGAGTTGAAGGTGTCAAGAAATCCAGTGAAACAAAAAGCAGATATGCTTGACTGTTTACACTTTTGTGAAGTGACAAGTTTATATGCTGCAAACTTCTTCTTTCAACATTTAGATGTGTATGAGTGTAACAGTGACTACTTGAAAATATTGAATCAAATCTGCGGCACATCTGAGAGGGACGGATGCTTAGATTTGGTCCCAATGACTAGGGCTAGTCCTTGTATAGTACGTTACATTTTCACGGCTCACTTACACTTACAACTTGTTAAACTATGTATTGATCAGCAGTCACGTATAGCGGAAGGAATACGTGTTTGAACTTGGCTATTAATTAATATTTATTGCAAGTTTATCTAAAAAGGTTTTTTCCACAGCTGTTGAACACGTTGCACTTTACACCCTTCACTAGTAACTCATTATCGTAGGATCAACATCCATGTGACGTAGATCGATAGGGTTTTAGCTGTGAGCACCTAACGTGCTACTCTTTAGTAGCAAAGGGATACGCTAAAAAACGCAAACAAAGGGATACGCTAAATAACGCAAACAAAGGGATACGCTAAATTACGCAAACAAAGGGATACGCTAAATAACGCAAGTATAAAAAAAAAATACAAAAATATATTCACATGCATGGTGTGAAACAGTCTCGCACACATCACAACTATATTCCGTTTGACAGAGAATACACGTTACGACGGTGACACAGTCGTTTATTTAACGATGTCCAATGGTCGTTTTCTCCACCTGCGCTAGAACATTGAACTTTACGCATCTACGTTAAACTTTTCTCCAGTTACGTTACCTTAGTCTCCGAAACGCTCCATCCCATACTGACGAAACAATCAATTCATGCCATGTCTTCAATTTTCAAGTTCTTAGAAATGAACCAACACAGATCTGTAAAACAGAAGTATACCACGAATAAGTTCTCTTCTATTAAGTTGATCGACAGGAAAACAAGACAACAGGAATAGATGATACACAAGACCAAACACGTTATGAACGTCAGACTCAGGAAGAGTAAACGTTCTCCACTTCACATGTGTTACTCGTCATGTCTTCCGTCACATATGGGAAAGTGAGAAGTATACAATCAATCTTAGACATTTTCAATAATTGTATGATAAATTTACTTCAACATCGGCCTCGCAGACAACAGGGCATCTTTTCAGGAAAGCCGTATACTTCGACCAGCACTAGAGTATCAAATCACTGTGACGTCATTCGAGACTATTGTTTTACTTCTGATAGAAAAATCACATGTAACATTCATGTAATCAAACGTATCCTATAAAAACATTCTATGGAGGCAACTTTCATTTCGACAAAGTTTATCTAGGACAAAGTTACGTCAGAGGAACAAATTGAGCCGTAAAATAGACTGTTAAGCCAAAAAATGTCATATTCACGACTCCTTTGTCGTTTTTATGAAAAGCATAGACAAGAAATTACAACTTAAATGAAACACACGTTAAAATTAATCACTTTTCTATTTCTGTAAGTAATGCACATTTCACCTGTTTTGTTTGTACTTTCGCAGGAAACAGAACCGGACTATATATGACAATCAGATGTAGGAAATACGATTGGAAAATAACAAAATCAATTTCTATACTATTAATTACACATATATTACAAACACATATGTTGATAATAATAGTTAAATATATCTACCACATGGTCTTCTAGGTTAGCAAAGTCAATTAGTGATCGTTTTATATAAATACAGTCGTACATACAAAGGCAAGGGCGTTTGTAGGATATTTGAAAGAGGGGGGCGTAAAATCTAATCTTACGCCGAGCGGAGCGATGTAAAAAAAAAATGACCTTTTTTGGCTAAAAAACATATAATAATTGTGAAATGCATTAATGTAACGGTTCCTGACTTGGAGCACGTACGCCCATTACGCCCTCACCTGGACCCTCCCCTGTACAAAGGTAAGATTCCTATATTACCCTTTGTTATTACATATACACAGTATGGCCTATATGAACTAAGAGGCTCTAGAAACAAACGTAAGCAAGCCAACACCGTATTGAACTAGCTAGCCGCCGATTGCGGAAACTGTATAAGCGAGGAGAGTAGCAAAAAGCGATAGGGGCAGCAACAGATATGGACTTTTTGGCCTGTTTCTGTTGGGTGCGGTAATTTAATCCCATCAAATGTTTATACATGCAGCTCCATCAACAAATTATTTTTCTTTTCTCTTCATAATATGTATATATATATATATCATATGTCTTTTCGGTATCAAAATAAAAGGTTAGAATTTAAACCATTAGATTCAATTATAATAGAAATGAGTATTAGCAGTTGTTTCCCCTAATTTTATTATTAATTTGATAATACCAACTTGTTTATATGTGTTTGTACGTGTTCTAATGTCTATGTATATGCTTGCACCGCTGTTTGTTACTATGTTTGGAGAGGGCTTAAATAGGCTATGCCTGCTGGCCCAATCCATTTGTCCTTTGACAATAAAAGTTATTGAAATTGAACAGATATCGACCATGTGAGTTGCAAGCATGGCACCATGAGTCTCAGTGAAGTACCCGTGTCAAGGGAACTCTCCACTAGGAGAGGCCTAGCCTACACGCTGTGGGGCGCTCGCTGCCAAAGCTTACTCACTTTTACCCTCAAACACAAAGGGTTGTAAACTTTGACCACATGATTACTGACTTTTACCCTCAAACACAAAGGGTTGTAAACTCTGACCACATGCTTACTCACTTTTACCCTCAAACACAAAGGTTTGTAGACTCTGACCACATGCTTACTGACTTTTACCCTCAAACACAAAGGTTTGTAAACTCTGACCACATGCTTACTGACTTTTACCCTCAAACACAAAGGTTTGTAAACTTTGACCACATGCTTACTCACTTTTACCCTTAAACACAAAGGTTTATAAACTCTGACCACATGCTAACTGACTTTTACCCTCAAACACAAATGTTTGTAAACTTTGACCACATGCTTACTCACTTTTACACTATAACTTAACTTTAATTGCGAATTGAGCAATAATTTGCAATACAGTTACGTTATCTTCCCTCGATAGGCACCCGCCCCATCACGATGGTGATTTATGCAGTAATCTACACCGCACGTGGTTTTTGATATTCGATATCTTCTTTCAAAAATATTGTTTTTTGCAAAATTTGTTTACCCCGACCATAATAGCCTGTCGTGTTGAACTTCGATTACCATATTGAATGCAGGTCAGTCGATACTCAGATAGGGGGTATAGCTAGGCAGATCAATGTTACAGGTATGCAAGAATTTTTAAAAAAAAGAGGAAAGTGTCTATGAACCTCTTTAGTTCTCTTCTTTTTAAAAATATTGTGTCCACAACTATTCAAATACTATTTACTGCTCATTGTCAGTGCCCTTTTCTTGCCGGAGCACTGCTGGTCACCATATCTTTGGTGTTGATCGATGGGAACAACCTGTATATCCCGCCATGTCGTGGCTCAGCGTTTTGAAATATCTATCTAATGGCAAGTCCGGGCATTTATGTTTGATGGAACAGCGGCGATTGTTAATCCTGAGATTAAGTGGTGTTTGGTCATCCCGACACACTGCATATTGCACGTAGCATAATTGATTAGGTATATCACATAAGTTGATTTACAGGACACTCACTGAAGTGTGAGGAAACCTTGTTCTTTGACTTTAGATTTAATGAGTTGGTATAAATGTACTCTCAGGTTTGGTCTGACTTTTTCAGTAGGCTCGAGTTCGCCCATTTCTTTACTCTGTCGATTTCACGATCAGTTTTTCTCGACGTTTGAGATTAGGGAATGCTCAGTGTTGTGTGTGGTCCACTTGAAAGGCGAAGGCATTCATGGATGTCGGCTGGTTTGCAATACTGACCTGTGCTTAAATCTCCATTGTTGAGAGGTGTAGTATGTGTCCAACAAATTGTTTTTCCGTCCAAAATTTCTGTTGTAAATTTGATAGTCCGGTTTCCTCAAGGGAGTCCCAACCGGATGCCCATTTAATATCAATGTCATTAATAAATCTAGTCAGCTGAGGGGTTTCGAGTGGGCAGCTCTAAGTAGATTTGGTTTCAAGTGTCCCATTAACACGTTGGCGTATGATGGTGTCATCATCTTGGTGCATATGGCTTTCCCAAAGACTTAAATGTAGTATTCTCCATTGAGTGAGAAATTGTTTTAATTGAGAACAAGCCACAACACTAATATCAGGCTATCTGTAGAAGGATGTGTGTCAACAACATCACAGAAGTAAAACTTTCCGACCACACCTCTACAAAACAAGAGAACTGCATTCTACTCGCTTAAGGTCTAAAGCTCTTAGTTTCCTTCTCCTTTCGGGATAGTAACTTCCTTTATTCCCCTACCTTCGGAGAAATTCTACAGACGACTGATGACGAAATGAGTACCTGGAACCCTCTACCCAGCAAAGTCCCAACACTGGCAGCATTCAGAGATGATGTCAAATAAGAGATATCTGCCGACTACGACAAAACCCACATTCAAAAGAATAACCTTACGAAAGGAGCGCGGTAGGCATCGCAATATCTATAGTAAAACACCAACGTTGTTTTCAAACCAGCTGATAAAGGTTCCACATTCAGGAGGCCGATCAACAATTACTCACCGTTAGAACATACCCAGAAACTCAAAACAGCTATTAGCAGGTAACTCATAAAAGGATATCGATCAGGAATCAGCTGACTTTTTATACTGTGACCCTAAAATCTACAATGCTGATAATCCTGGACAAAAAAATCTAGAAGTTCATTTGACTTTCACCCGATACCTCATGTAGGGAATATACCGTCTTACTTGAAAGACACCACATATTATCTTAACAAGACATCATGCAGTAATCTTCCAGAAGATACACTCTTTGTGACTATTGATGCTGTCTCCCTTTACATCAATATCTCATATACGGACGGCATCTAACCCTGTCGTGCTGCGTGGGACACACTGGAAATCAAACATCCTTCCACAGACAGCCTGGTTGAACTTTTGAGGTTTGTTCTCACGTTGAACTATTTCACATTCAATGGTAAACTACCAACAAGTCAGTGGTACGGTCATGGACATTAAGATGGCACCATTTTTCCACCAACGTATGTTTCTTGGCATCTTGGAATCAAAACTACTTAGAGCTGCTCCCTGGAAACCACTCATTTGACATAGATGCA